ATAAGGATTGAGAGCCAAGTGACGGCCGTTATATCTGGAAATCGCGCTCACGAACGCCTGATTTAAACGACTCGACAATCATTTTTTATTGGCCTTGATCGACGCATGGGTAATGGAATGCCAGCATTTCAATGACGTAATCATGACGTCATGAATGTCAAGCTGACTTTGAAATACTCTCCCCGATAAACCTTTCCAATTTTCGCGGGCGTGTGGCTGAGAACGTAAAAGGGCTTGGGTCTTAAGAAGGGCAGGGTTGTAAACTGCACCGCGTGATCTTGGAGATGGTCATTTCAGTTCAAAACATCATACAAACGTGGGACTCTCCCCTCTAATGTGACCTACAGATAGCTCTCTGCGCCTCCCAATCAGCATTTCATCGTCGGTCCCCAGGCGCCCTTCGGACTCCTCTGCGGAGCCCTCATACAGTGCCCAAGCAGGATCTGGACTCCTTGCAAATACAGGACCCTTGTTAGGCAGTGTGGTGCCCTGAACGACCTGGCCTCATTGACTCAGGGGCCCCGACCGATGTAAATCGCGGACTCTGGCCATGTATCTGCTGGTAAATCGGACTTCAACCCCAGACCTGGCGCTAGAGTTATCTAGCGGCGGGTTCGTCGCGCGTCACGGTCGTTACACCTCCGTCACGGTCGTTACACCTCCATCACAGAGGAGTGTTTCGGCAAAATAGGATTGGTAGTTCGGCGAGGGGCTGACCTGGGAAAACTGGCACTAAACACACTTAAGACAGCTTGCTTCTTGCTCTAATATGTTCATTCACTTTGTCTCGGTGGAAGGTACCGTCACTAGGTATCGTAGTCATTTTGTTTGGCATCTATCGTCGAAACCATGTGTCGTGATTGATGTAGGGTTGATGTTATGTTGCATCAGACGGTTGGTCGTGTATGGCTTCGGAAGAAGGAAGTGTAAGTTGATGTGCGCGACTGCTAAAGACTGCCATATAAATATCCGGCTCGTGGCTGCAAGGCGGTATGCAGGTTGCGACGCAACACTCATGTTGGCATGTTCGACACGGCTGGTGTGGTTTTGGTGTCACTGTCGGACGATTGCCGCTATCGACGCAGTACTCATGTTGGCATGTTCGACACGGCTGGTGTGGTTTTGGTGTCGCTGTCGGACGATTGCCGCTACCGATGCAGCCGTCTGGTGTCCATTATCATGCTTTTGTAAGTGTAACTGTTCCAAAAAATATTCACATCGAAGTGAGGGCCGGCGTATATCAAGGGTTTTTTCGGACGTAGACGGCTAATGAGTTGGTAACATTTTTTGATGCTAATACTCTACTGGTTTATTTCCCATTTCCAGTAAGACACCGTGGCAAAATAATGCAGCTTGCTACAATCTGCAGAACCTGAAACATCGCTGAATAATGCCAGAATCCTTAGATAATAGCACAAAACTAAAGACAGAATCGGCGAAACATTCTAATCCTCCAATGAAAAACATGCAGCATGCAGGAAGGACAGAGATGCTGAAGTAAACGGAGTACGAACGTACAACTTTTAAAATGTGAGTGACTTTAAAAGCTTCATGGGGTATTTCTTGTACCAAATGAAATATTTGGAACAAGAAATACCCCGTGCAGTTTTGTGGGCACGTCCAATATTTATGTTAGGTGGTGCCGGGTTCGGCATGTGCTTGTCACTTTTCTAGCGAACAACCAGCATGTTCCTTTTCTTTACATCTATTGTTGGTGATAACTCGATGCTATTCTTATTTCGACTACAAGAAGCTTGTTGATTTGGTGTACAGTGCTGATGCAGATGTTATGTGTGGTCGCGAATGCCACTCCTTGCACCTCGAGGCCCTTCGTCCAGTCTAGGCGTGGTATGTGAGTTTCTACTTGGGTCTACATATCCAAAAACAATGATGCCTTCCTTGCTATCACGTAAATTTTGCGATGCTCACGCATTGAAGCACAAGCTAGGCTAAGCTCACGTTGCGACCAATCACAGGAGTGCGTTACGCAACATGTTAATGCATGCTGCCAGAAACATGTCATTAGTTGCTGTGCCGTCCAGGTCAACTTCGATGGTCCAAGTATCCCGCTAGAACAATCCAACGAAGACGCGACGACGCGCAAGCAGCGCAATGCGCGTTGACAATTGCCTCAGATTTGTATGCCGAAGAAGTGGGATATCGTGCACCACAATCTGGTCATGGTCCAGGATTTCATTAAGACGGGTGAGGCATCCAAGATTGTGGGCTCCCTAAAATTTAAGATTCCCTCGCCCCCCCCCCCAAAATCCTGGAATTCCGGCCATTATATTTTAAGATTCTTAGTATGCTTTTCACACGAAAACCTATGTTACTGTGCGTAGCCTTAGAAAACAAGCGTGCTACGCATACAGATGCCTCAAGCATTATTAATTTTCTCCAGATCACGGTGAATCACAGCCTTCTGAGACTAAGTTTTTTCTGGAAAAAACATGGCAAAATGAATACAGTTGGCTGCTAAATATCATTAATACCAAGCACAAACCTGATTACTAGCATATTTACAGCCAGCCGGCTGGTCGATGTGATCAGCTGATGCCAGAAATTAATCCAGAGTTTTTGCTTTGTTATGAATGAGTATAAAATACCATATCATTTAAAATGTGTTTAATAAGATGTATAAGAACGTAGTACACAAGTATAATTAGTTTCCCAAATTCACTAACCAAAGGAAATTTCAGATGGGACGTCGGCGACACGGCGAGTTATGTTCAACAGTTGCGCGCAAAAAATTCATCGGCGCATATCCGCCTGATGCTCTAAGGCCAAGCCACCAAGGATGAAGGCATAAGGATGAAATCAGGGCGATCATGGGTGCCGCGTCAGACCACAAAGAGGCTTCCGTCATTGGGATTTGGGACGTTGTCATTGGGACTTTACGACGCATTCAGCTGCTGGGACGTCGCCTGCCTCTAACCTTGGCAGGAATGGCGGGCACCGCGGGGATTCGAACTCCGTACCTCTGGTTTCCCAGGCGCGCTGAGGTTAACGCAGGCGCGTTAAGCATGGGGTCGCCGTACTTATTTGGTGTCACATCACATTACTTGGCGAGTGCCGACACATCCCAAGTATGGGGTCCTCAGAACAAGCGAAGAGGGCCCAAGGCCAACGTGATGGGCCCCTGAACGATCGGAAGTGCCTCGGTAGGTTGACATAAAGGGTCCCGGCCAGGACACAGAGCCCTCTGAACAAAGGAGATTTATCCAAGACCAGTGGACATAAATTAATGCCCCTGTGCGGTCAAGACTGCTCGGACTGGTTAACGGAAAGAGCCCCGATGGGAGTGAAGGGTCCCTTGCAAACGAAATCAAGCGAAAGAGCACTTTACCAATGCAGAAGGCGCCTGAGCATCATGTGACTACATTCCTTACCTTGTATGGACCCCAGCAACAGCACAAGGCTTTCGGAGCAACTGGAAAGAACCCGAGACCAACATGAAGGGCTCCTGAGCAATTGGGTGCCTCCCCCTCCCCCGGTATATGAGGCCCCGGCAAAAGCGTATAGAGCTTTGTGGGCAAATGGAAAGAATTCGTGGAGGGCCCCTGACCGGTAAAGAGTGCTCAGGCATGTTATCAGAAAGTATCTCAGCAGCATCGTAGGCCCTACGAGAAAATGCGAAGAGATCAAGGGCAATGCAAAGGCTTTTTAACGATCGGATTGATCTGGCAAGTGGACATGTACCAAGGCCACACCAAGACTCAGTATGAGGGGGGGGGGGGGTAGGAATGATCGAGTATGCCTAAGCAGGTCAACTGATGAACCCCCCCCCCCTCGACAAGAGCGTGTGGCCCTCAATTCAAATAACATACCTACGACACCAAGCGGAGGATCCCAAACGATCGAGTGCATCCGAACAGGTTAACGTATAGGGACCTCGACAGGGTGTGGGACCCTCCAATCACACAAAAAGTAACCAAGACCCCATTTGGAAGGCCCCAGAACGGCCGAGTGTGCTCAGGCAGGATAACAAATGGGCCCCGACAAGAGTGTAAGGCCCAAAGCAAGTGCCAAAAAATTGGAATGACCCTAGACCAACGTAGGGGGCCCATGAGCATATCGTGAGTGTGTCGGTGGGCTAGCCATTACGAACTTGAAGGGCCCCTGAGCAACCGAGAACACACCCACAGGTTAGCATTTAGGGCCCTCACGTATAGAGCGTTTCGGGTGAATGGAAACAATCCATGGAAGTTCCCTGCTTGCCAAAGGTACCCCGGTACACTAGTAGAAAGGGCTCATCAACAACACAAGGCCCTCCGAGCAAATGCAAAGAAATCATGGGTAACATAGAAGCCTCCCCAAAGATCGAGTCAAATCTGCAAGTGGCCATATAAGGCCCCGGAAACAGCGTAGGGCCCCTGGATAGCGTAAAAGACCCTAAAATGTTCCAATCATCACCTTCTCAAGCAGCGAAGAACAATTTTTGCCTACTCGTGGGCACTTCACTTCGTTTGCGATTGTTATTGGCCGCCTGGAAGCCGAAGGGCGTCCAATTTGGTTGCATTTTGTGTAAAACAAAAACAGCGCCTGTTCGACTGGTTATGGGTCCCTTCGGGCCTATGGGACAATTCGGGGCCTTAGGGGGGGGGGGCACGTGATTATGCCCCCCCCCCTTCTCCTTCGATTCGCCCCTGAACAGGATTACAAACTAGCTTTCCAAATCACTTGCCCACGCTCTGCACGATACACGTGCGAGCTGACGAGCTGACGACCGTATGGACTGTATACCGTCTGCTGTGACCGTATGGACTGCCTACCGTCTGCTGTGACCGTATGGACTGTCTACCGTCTGCTGTGACCGTATGGACTGTCTACCGTCTGCTGTGACCGTATGGACTGTCTACCGTCTGCTGCGAACGTATGGACCGCCTACCGTCTGCTGTGACCGTATGGACTGTCTACCGTCTGCTGCGAACGTATGGACCGCCTACCGGCTGCTGCGAGCGTATGGACTGTCTACCGTCTGCTGCGGGCGTATGGACCGCCTATCGCCTGCTGCACGCTCCGCAGCAGGCACAGACGAGACAGTCGACGAGCTCGACGATCGTGAGCAGCGAGCCGCCGATCATGAGGCCCAGGCTGCCGCCCACGTCCGAGAGGAACTGGTTCAGCGGGTACGCCACCCCCTCCTCGGCCTTCATCACGGTGGTGTGGAGCCACAGCGCCAGTTCGGTGACGACCCGGCCGGCAGGCCGCCGGCGCGGCGCGCCCCCCGGCGCTCGCGCCTTGTCGATGTTGACGCTGTGCGGCGTGCTGCTGACGTACTCCTCCCACCGGCACGGGAGGCGGCAGCCGCAGGAGGCGGTGATCACTGCCATCAGGGACTCGTTGAATGAGCTGAGCTCGTCCAGACCAGAGGCGCTCTTGAACTGCTGGTAGGTGGTGCAGGGGGGCTGCTTGGCAGACGCTGATATCCATGGCACGTGGCAGGACGGGCGGTCGATGCCGGCCTTGCTGAACACACACCGCTCCAGGCAGGACTGCGCCACGTGGATCGGCTGCTCGCTGCATGTGTTTCCTTCGGGGAGCCGGCTGAAGGCGTTTGTCGTCAGCTTCACGGTGATAGAGCTGTTGGCGTGCAGCTTGATGTACGTCACGACGCCGGCGAATAGCGCGAAGTCATCCAACTGGACGCTGTGCTCGTGTACAAACAGACCCCAGCCGTCGTACTCGTTATCCGCGAAGCTGCCTGTCTCACTGAGCACCAGGTTCAGCTGGCCGGACAGCATGTTTCTGCCGACAGTGGTGTTGGTGCGCAGCGTGGCGCAAGCGCCCAGCAGCGGCGTATGCGCCGCCCGGATGGTTCCCAAGTCTGAGCAGTTGACGTTGCCAATGGTGCACTTGGTCACCATGTCCTCCCACTTGTAGTTGGCGGCGGCAAAGAACTCGTCCAGATTGTACTCGTCCCAGTGCAGCAGCGAGAATGCAGGCGTGTCGTCGTCCAGCCAGTCTAGCAGGCTCACTCCAGGAAGGCTCATCTTCTCCACCGCCTCCTTCTTGAATTTGTTGCCGTGACAAACGGTGAGGGCGGGCACCTTGACCTCGTCCAAGATCTGGTGAGAAAACTGCCAGCTGGTGCCGCCGCGCGCCAGCCGCCCCAGCGGGCTGCAGAGCTGCGCGGCCAGCGCAGCCAGCAGCGCCACCAGCACCAGCAGCCAGAGCAAGCGGCGCGGCCAGCAGGCCAGCGGGCTCAGCACGATCGAGACGCCGCTAGTGCTGAGCTGGCCGGGCGGTAGGCAGCGCGGGCCCAGCGCCGTCGCCGCCGCTGCCTGCCAACACCGGTCCGGGACGGAGCCGGCCGCCGGGCCCACCCGACGCTTCTGCGAGGCCGACATCAGCCACGGACCGACAGGGCAGAGGGCTCAATGCGCACCTCCACCGGGCCGACAATTCACAGCACAAGCCGTCTTTAGTGAGAAATGGCGCAGCACAGGCTTATCTCTCCCAGGCTTCTGAGTGACACTTCCGTATCTTCTTCGGGTTTGAACAACGCCTGAGACGAACAGATGAAGCAGGAAGAAAATTCAGCGAGAGCAGGCCCCGGTCCAACTAATTCTTCATTGGGTACCTTCACCCTGATCCGGATAGCAGACCGCTGCAGCGAAGGTTTTCCACCTCTGAGCTTGTGACCCGTGCCCAATAGACTCCCTCCGTGTTCCCACTGCGCCCCTGGTCCTGCGCTGTTAAGGCCCTGGTCACCACGATACCGACGCAACAGGGGGGGGGGGGGGGGGGAGGGGCATCATTTGTCCGGTGTGCCGCGCACATATCACTTACAGTAATAAACTGCGCGTGACAAATTTGCATTGGCCACTGGAAGTCATACCACATTGCAGATACGTCAACACTGAAATCGAACGCCGTGCAACAATGCAAGAGCGCACAGTCCCATATGTAGCTTACGACTGGCACCTGTGCCAGCTCACAGGCATCGACGCTGCTGCCGCGGCCCTGCGGACCGTGTCTGGGGGGCCGGCCACGGGCTGTCGGCGCTGGGCTGTCGGGACGGCGCGGCTCCGCAGCTGCGGGGCTCGTCAGTGTTCTAGACATTGGTCTTTGGGTTATCTTTGTGACAAGTTGTGCCGTCTCCTGACTGATTTAGTGTCCGTCATCCCCGCCGTTTCTTGACTGATACGGTACCCGCCACCCCTGTCGTCTCCTGACTGATACGGTACCCGCCACCCCTGTCGTCTCCTGACTGATACGGTACCCGCCACCCCTGTCGTCTCCTGACTGATACGGTACCCGCCACCCCCTGTCGTCTCCTGACTGGTACGGTACCCGCCACCACTGTCGTCTCCTGACTGATACGGTACCCGTCACCGCCGCCGTCTCCTGATACGGACCCGTCACCGCCGCCGTCTCCTGATACGGGCCCGTCACCCCGCCGTCTCCTGATACGCCACCCGTCATCCCCAACGTCTCCAGATACGGACCCGTCATCCCCGCCGTCTCCTGATACGGTACGTCACCGCCGCCGTCTCCTGATACGGTGCCCGTCACCCCCGCCGTCTCTCGATACCGTACCCGTCACCGCCGCCGTCTCCCGACACGGCACCCGTCACCCCGCCGTCTCCCGATACGGCACCTGTCACCGCCGCCGTCTTCCGATACGGCACCTGTCACCGCCGCCGTCTCTTGATACGGCACCCGTCACCGCCGCCGTCTCTTGATACGGCACCCGTCACCGCCGTCGTCTACTGACTGATTCGGTGTCCGTCATCCTCGCCGTCTCCCGATACGGTAGTCATCGCCGCCGTCTCTTGATACCGTACCCGTCACCGACGCCGCCTCCTGACTGATTCGTTGTCCGTCATCCTCGCCGTCTCCCGATACGGTAGCCATCTCCACCGTCTCTTGATACCGTACCCGTCACCGCCGCCGTCTCCTGACTGATTCGGCGCCCGTCGCCCCGCCGTCTCCTAACTAATACGGTACCCATCATTCTGTCATCTCCTGACTGCCACCAGTCACCCGCTAACTGATACGTCGCCTGTGCTCCCCGCCGTTCGCTCTCCTGCGCGCTGCTAGATTCCTGCGACCATTGCCAGTTACACGCTTCCTGCGCACTGCTGGCACGCCTATGCCATACCAGCAGTGTTGCGATGCTTCGTGCCGCAACGTTCCGGCACACTACGGTGAAGCGAAAGGCGGCGCTACTTCTGCTGCTCTGAGTTTTTAGTCCCAAAAAGCTACTCCCAGGAAGAACTTTTCCCTCCACTAAGACAAAAACAATGGCGGTTGAAAACAAAAACTGTTTTGGCGTTCTAACTCAACATCCACCTAAAATGGAGGGAGAACCCCATCCAGAATGACCACATTCGCCATGTGAAGCGGACTTCGTCCATGCCAGCGCTGGTGCATCGCCAAAAAGATAGACGACACCAAGGTCCACGTTCGTTAGAATGGGATGGCCGTCGTTTCCAATTGTCTTCAGCAGACTTATCCGATAACTTGTTTGTGTGCAGCTCGGAGGACGTAACATTGCCATGATGTGACTAAGCATGAAGAGGTGGACACCCACGCCGGTCGGTCAATGGACACATTGCTCTAAGTTTGACCTCACGGGTCATAAACTGCCCGCGCCATTCAGGCTTCAAACTTCACCCGCTGATCGACGAGGCCACGTCGACGGCTGTAATACGATCACACACCTCCGTCAAACGTGGGCGCCCCAAACGCCTGCCGTTCAAATAATCAGTCGTCTGGCTTCAATGGTTGCCAGGCCAGTCGCAGGTCCTGTTGGACACCCTCACAGGAAGCAAATGTAGTTACCGACCGAACGCGGCGTCACGCTGCCTCAAGCCTGTTGTGTTGTGGCGGCTATCCGGGCCTGCTGCACGCCCGCCTCAGTGGGGCGATGGTCAGCAGTCAGGAGCCGCTGCCGGCAGTCCATGCTCCAGACACATCAGCTGCATCAGGAGCAGCCGCCGGCGGTCCATGCTCCAGACACATCAGCTGCATCAGGAGCCGCCACCGGCAGTCCATGCTCCAGACACATCAGCTGCATCAGGAGCCGCCGCCGGCAGTCCATGCTCCAGACACATCAGCTGCATCAGGAGCCGCCGCCGGCGGTCCATGCTCCAGACACATCAGCTGCATCAGGAGCCGCCGCCGGCAGTCCATGCTCCAGACACATCAGCTGCATCAGGAGCCGCCGCCGGCAGTCCGTGCTCCAGACACATCAGCTGCGCTCCGTTCGCATCATCACACTCGGTATGGCGGGTCGCCAGCCAATCAGAGCCAAGCACGGCGCAACGTCATCATATCTCCAGAACAACCGGCGCATACCTCAGACCCACATTTCTTTATATGCATCCATACTGCGGATTTGATGTGCCGCGCCCACATGCCCCAAGGTTGAACAGCATTCGTGGACAGCGCAACGGAGCACCACCAGATCACCAAAGGAAAGCCACAAAACACGCGGGTAACGGTCCCGCTGCGAACAGAAGCGAGGCACGAGAAGGAATGCTGCACAGCCGGCGGTGCCTCGCCACCCCACACCGGCGCCGGTGGCGCGAGGCAGACTTTTGCGCGTCAGAACAGCTCGCCACCCGCCCCACCGCTGGCCCGGACAACTCCCAGTGCGGGCACGAGCGCGGGCACGAGCGGCAGCGCCAGCGCGCCGCTGGGCGCAGAACGTCCCAGCATTCCACAGCTGAGGCGCAGCATTCCACAGGTGAGGCGCACCATTCCACAGCTGAGGCGCAGCAGTCCACAGCTGAGGCGCAACAGTCCACAGCTGAGGCGCAGCAGTCCACAGCTGAGGCGCAGCAGTCCACAGCCGAGGCGCAGCAGTCCACAGCCGAGGCGCAGCAGTCCGTCACGCACACACACGCACACCGTCACGATGACCGTCGCTGTCCCGCCGCCCGGGCCACACCGGCGGCGGCCATCGCCAGCGTGACGGCGCCATCTTGTCGGCGCCGTCGCTCTGATGAGCCTCGCAGCGTGCCCACACGCTGATGCCAGCACGTGCTTGACAGCCCACACCGCGCGATTTGGCCCGTCGCTGCCAGCCCGTCCCAAGTGATGCGTCGTTGGATATGCGAATCCGCGTGCCGAGCACAGCCTCTCGCCGTCCGCCCGGCTGATGGTCGATGTTTCTGTGCAGCGCCGAGTGGCCGCGCTCCTACTTGATCTTGTGGATGTATTTGGCCCTCTTGGTGACGCGGCCGCAGCATAGGCCGCCGAAGAACATGACGACCAGGATGCCGAACACGAGCAGCACAAAGAAGTCGCGGCTGGGCGAGTCGCGCACGGACGCGATCAGCTCGGGCACCGTCTCCACCGGCCGCACCTGGTGGACAGGGTGCGCCACACAGTCAGGACTGGTCCACCAGTGGTCCGCCGAGTGACCGAGCCTCAACGACTCCGACGTCCCAAGGGCGCACAGAGAAACACGAGGGATTATGGCAAATATCAGGGCAGAACCACAGCTAAACGGCACCAAAAGGCGAGCAGCCCTGTGGAGTGGTGGGAGGCACCCACGGAGTCAGACGGGTGAGGCAGCCCTCAGACGCCCGCGAGAACACATGGACTGGGGACAGTTAGCTGACCACGGCAGTTACTGGCGTCGATGACGACAGCTGATCAGCCCATCACGTCTGCGATGATGACGATCTGGACTTTAGGGCGCGTCAACGCCCTGGTCCTACGGCGCCCACACGCGCTCACACACACACACATAGACATCCGCGATTCAAACCAACTCACCCGCTTCACCCTCATCCCGCCACTCCCGTCCCCCGCCACCCCGCCACTACCCCCGTCCAGCAATCGCGAGGACGGCTCACCTTCAAAGCAGCGGCCACCATCTTCAGCCGCATGTTGAGCACGTCCGCGCAGCGCTGTGTCGGGTCGTGCACCTCCGTTAAGCACGTCAGCTGCGCGCCGTGGCCGGGCGGCACATGCGCGCAGTGCCGCTGCAGGTCGAGCCCGCACGCCACGCTCAGCTGCGGGTCCGTGTGCACGTCCACGTTCACGTCCTCGACGATGCGCGCCACGCGCCTGGCGCAGGCGTCGCTGAGCGCCGAGCCAGCCGCCAGCTTCTCCCGCAGGCACTCGCCGACGCGCTCTGGCGGCAGGCCGGTGCACTGCTGCGCGATCTCGGCGGCGCAGTCGCGCAGCAGCAGCGGGTCCTGGCGCACGTCGCGCGCTGCCTCGCGCAGCACCAGGTCCACCTGACGGCTGCAGGCGTCACCCAGCATGCCGCGCCGCAGCGCGCCGGCCAGGCAGGCGGTGACCTGGCCCTGCAGTGAGCTGTCCGGCGTCTGGCGCTCCAGAAACGGCGCGCAGTGGGCGCGCGCCTCGGCCTGGCAGGCGCGCCGCAGTGCCGGGTGCAGCCGGTAGTCCCGCTTCTGCTCGGCCAGCCGGCGAGACACGACCTTCTCGCAGGTCGGGTCGAACGACGGCTCGTCCAGCTGGGCCTGCGGGCGGGACGGCAGCCGTAAGGCGCCGCCGCCCAGGCACCGGACCAGAGAACCAGACCGGACCGCACCAACTGCTACGACCGCGGTCAGAGCACGCGCGTCGAGTTCCCGACAGACGAATCAGCTTATCAAGCGGGTCGCTCAACAGCTGCCCTCCTTCCTCGGCCACACCAAAAAACGGCACGGATCGGCCGTACCGGCAGCGACGCCAGAAATGCTTTCACGATCCCAATGCCGAAAATGACCTAATCCTGGCAACAAGACGCTCACACCAGAAACACGAGCAAGTCGCTGATGTCCACAGCCCACCATTTCTGACAAGAAACGCGTCCGTCTGGCGTCGCGCTGGAGCCTGTCAGGTGAGACCTGGCCGAGGCTGGCCGCGCCGACCGCCTACCTTCAAACAGCCGAGCAGTTCGGCCCCCGAGCTCTCAGGGGCGCGGCAGTACTTGAGGATCATGCCCTTGCAGGCGTTGAAGAGGAAGTAGTCGGCCTGGGGCAGGATGAGGCTCTGCTGCTGGCGGCGGAACAGCAGGTGGCTGCAGGCGGGCAGCAGCTCGTCCACGTGCTCGCGCAGACACTCCAACACCTGCGGAAGCGGTGGCGTTACGGTCGTGCCGCCACCCATGGCGCCGCGGCAACGACGCGCGCCTGGCACACAGCGTACAGACACTACGAAACCGGCCCGGGCACTGACACAATGGTTTGATAAGCAGACAACATACCATTAACATACCACAATGATTTAATTTCCGTAAAATTGGCCCAATCTGAAAGAACAAGTCTTTTCAGATTCTCGATTATTCTCAAGTTCACGTCCTGAATCAATCAATTTTCGGAAAGCAGAAAAAGTGCGGGGCAGGTTAATGGCCATGTTCTACTCAGTGCTCACCATGCCGCCAACTATCCTATAGTCCTGAACCAGTCCACTTACAACATGTAAGTTTTGAGCATTTACTTAAAAATAAGGTCTAATTGTGACAGCCCCCATGCCCAAGCGTGCACGCAGTAGCAGCTTTTGACGCTGTCGACACAACAGAACCAACTGTGGTAAGCGTAACACAGCGCATCGAGCGGCGCCAGCCGGGCCCCCGTCGCCGACACTGACCCGTCCCGAGCCCTTGTTCTCCGACTCGTGGCGACAGTGAGTGTGGATGTCCTTGCCGCAATCCTTATTGAGGCGCGGGTCGAGCGCCTCGTTCTCCTCCCGCTGCAGCAGCTGCGACTCCACCTGTCGGGAGGGCGCGTCAGTGAAGCACGCGGCGCCGCGGAGCCGCGCGCTCGCCGCTCACATCCGGGCGAGAAGACCGCCCACCCGGCGACCGTGCCGTCACCCAGCGGCCGCCACACATCACCGGCACCCGACGCCGGGCTCCCCGCGTGACAGGCGACGGCACTGACCATTCGGCTATCGCCCTCTGGATCGCCAGGTCACGTGACCATTCGGCTGTCGCCCTCTGGATCACCAGGTCACGTGACCATTCGCTATCGCCTGGATCACCAGGTCACGTGACCATTCGGTTATCGCCCTCTGGACCCAGGTCACGTGACATTCGGCTATCGCCCTCTGGATCACCAGGTCACGTGACCATTCGGCTATCGCCCTCTGGATCACCAGGTCACGTGACCATTCGGCTATCGCCCTCTGGATCGCCAGGTCACGTGACCATTCGGCTGTCGCCCTCTGGATCACCAGGTCACGTGACCATTCGGCTGTCGCCCTCTGGATCACCAGGTCACGTGACCATTCGGTTATCGCCCTCTGGATCGCCAGGTCACGTGACCATTCGGCTATCGCCCTCTGGATCACCAGGTCACGTGACCATTCGGTTATCGCCCTCTGGACCGTCAGGTCACGTGACCATTCGGCTGTCGCCCTCTGGATCACCAGGTCACGTGACCATTCGGTTATCGCCCTCTGGACCGTCAGGTCACGTGACCATTCGGCTGTCGCCCTCTGGATCGTCAGGTCACGTGACCATTCGGTTATCGCCCTCTGGATCGTCAGGTCACGTGACCATTCGGCTATCGCCCTCTGGATCACCAGGTCACGTGGACCATTCGGCTATCGCCCTCTGGTCACCAGGTCACGTGACCATTCGGCTATCGCCCCTGGCTCGTCAGGTCACGTGACCATTCGGCTATCGCCCCTATGGATCGCCAGGTCACGTGACCATTCGGCTATCGCCCCTGGACCGTCAGGTCAGTGACCATTCGGCTGTCATCTGGCAGGTCACGTGACCATTCGGTTATCGCCCTCTGGACCGTCAGGTCACGTGACCATTCGGCTATCGTTCCCTGGCTCGTCAGGTCACGTGACCATACGGCTATCGTCCCCTGGATCGCCAGGTCACGTGACCATTCGGCTATCGTCCCCTGGATCGCCAGGTCACGTGACCATTCGGCTATCGTCCCCTGGATCGCCAGGTCACGTGACCATTCGGTTATCGTCCCCTGGATCGCCAGGTCACGTGACCATTCGGCTATCGTCCCCTGGGTCGCCAGGTCACGTGACCATTCGGTTATCGCCCCCTGGGTCGCCAGGTCACGTGACTATTCGGTTATCGCCCTCTGGACCGTCAGGTCACGTGACCATTCGGCTATCGTTCCCTGGCTCGTCAGGTCACGTGACCATTCGGCTATCGCCCTCTGGATCACCAGGTCACGTGACCATTCGGCTATCGTCCCCTGGATCGCCAGGTCACGTGACCATTCGGTTATCGTCCCCTGGATCGCCAGGTCACGTGACCATTCGGCTATCGTCCCCTGGGTCGCCAGGTCACGTGACCATTCGGTTATCGCCCCCTGGGTCGCCAGGTCACGTGACTATTCGGTTATCGCCCTCTGGACCGTCAGGTCACGTGACCATTCGGCTATCGTTCCCTGGCTCGTCAGGTCACGTGACCATTCGGCTATCGCCCTCTGGATCACCAGGTCACGTGACCATTCGGCTATCGTCCCCTGGATCGCCAGGTCACGTGACCATTCCGTTATCGCCCCCTGGGTCGCCAGGTCACGTGACCACTCGGTTATCGCCCCCTGGGTCGCCAGGTCCGGTTACACCACACACAGAGACCGCGTCACGGCGCCCGGACCGGCAGTCGCGGCAGCTGACTGAGCAGCGGACCGACCTGCAGGCGGCAGGGCTTGGAGACGCGCTGCCTGCGGCCGTCCAGCGTGTCGTTCAGCATGGCGGCGCTCAGGCAGGCCATCACGTCCGCCCTGCCGGCGAAGCAACGCTCCACGTCACCGCACAGCAGTCGCTGCTCCTCACGCCCATGCCGTGACCAGCCGCTGCAGCGTGCATTGAAGGAGGTGCATTGGTTTGCCACACGTGCGCAGGGCGTTATTTATATGCTGCAGAACGGTGATACGGTGAGTACTCATATGAGTAATCGCCATTCCGATAGATGCAGAGCGACCGCAAGTGGCTCACTTCCTCTCCATGTTCTTGCAGAGCTGCAGGATGTCGCTCTGACACCCTTGCTTAAACTTGTAGCTGAATGTGTAGTCGGCCAGGCTGATGATCTGGAAGTGGCTGATGGCGGCGCGACACTTGGCGGCGTGTTTCAGATCCGGGTCATCCTTGTGCTCGATCAGACACTCCATCACGCCGCCTTTCTCCATCAGGTGCTGTGGGTACGGCACCCCGTCACACACCGCCTCCCCTCTCCATCAGATGCTGCGGGGTACCGCACTCCGTCACACACCGCCTCCCCTCCCATCAGGTGCTGTGGGGTACGGCACTCCGTCACACACCGCCTCCCCTCTCCATCAGGTGCTGTGGGTACGGCACTCCGTCACACACCGCCTCCCCTCTCCATCAGGTGCTGTGGGTACGGCACTCCGTCACACACCGCCTCCCCTCTCCATCAGGTGCTGTGGGTACGGCACTCCGTCACACACCGCCTCCCCTCCCATCAGGTGCTGTGGGGTACGGCACTCCGTCACACACCGCCTCCCTCTCCATCAGGTGCTGTGGGTACGGCACTCCGTCACACACCGCCTCCCCTCCCATCAGGTGCTGTGGGGTACCGCACTCCGTCACACACCGCCTCCCCTCTCCATCAGGTGCTGCGGGGTACCGCACTCCGTCACACACCGCCTCCCCTCTCCATCAGGTGCTGCGGGGTACCGCACTCCGTCTCACACCGCCTCCCCTCTCCATCAGGTGCTGCGGGGTACCGCACTCCGTCACACACCGCCGCCCCCCCCCCTCCCCCTCCCCATCACGTGCTGCGGGGTACGGTACTCCGTCTCACACCGCCTCCCCTCCCCATCAGGTGCTGCGGGTACGGTACTACGTCACACAGCGCCACCGCCGGCGCCCGTCGTGGCGCAGCGAGCCCGGCCAACACCCCTGCTCGCCGCAGCCCGCCCGTCCGCGGCCAGCCCGCGCCCGTCGCGGCGCAGCGGCCCGCCGACAACCCCTACTCGCCGCAGCCCGCCCGTCGGCGGCCAGCCCGGCGCCCAGTCTCACCATACAGTTCTGCTTGATGCTGTTCTTGCAGACCCTGGCCACCACCGGGTTGAGTTCAACGTAGCGCGCCTCGTCCTGCGTCAGCGACTGGATCACCGCCTGGCACTTGGGCTTCAGCCTGCCGGCGGAGGTGACGTCACGTCAGGGCGGCGCGGCTGTCACGGCGTTGAGCGACGACGGCGTGGGTCGCGCATCTCGCCAGCGGCATCTGGCCACAGCTGTGACAGGAGAAGGATGGATGGGACGCCAATTCCACACACACGCACACGCGCACGCGCACACGCACACGCACACGCACGTATAATATATATATATATATATATATATATAATAAAGGTATAGTATACACATATAGTATACACACATTATATATATATATATATATATATATATATATATATAATAAAGGTATAGTATACACAGTAATACTACGCCCTAAATGGAACAGAGGAGACTTATTAGGCTTAGACCGGCAGCCGTAACTTCCTCCCACCCACGAGCACCAGACAGCATGAACTAGGCCAGGCCACATCCCACTGCTCGGCCGTCTGCCGCGCGGGCGGCGCTCCGGGCCGGCCGTGACGTCCCGCCCTCACTCTCGGTAGTTGTCCTGCAGACAGACGATCTCGTGGCCGCGCTGCGTGCGCTCCGAGCACAGCTTGGCCAGGTCCTGCATGCAGACCTCCTCGATCTCCGGCCGCAGGTCCACCTCGTCGGCGCGCACCTTCATCACCCGGCGCACGGCCGAGCGACAGCCGTCCGACATCTGGCGCCGGGGATGGCCAGTCATCAGGCGGGGGCGGATGGCCAGTCATCAGGATGGCCAGTCACCACCGGGCGACAGACCGCTCGGCAGGCACACAGTCGCAGGGGAGTAACACTGCACTCGTGGCTGGGCTGTGCGGCGCACTCCCCGTTTTATTATTTGGCGGCGCGGTCTTACGCAGATTACAGCGTGGGATACCGAAACTCGGTCCTGGCCTCCAGCCCATGACATCGCCTTCGATCGTCGTGCAACGGAAATGAATGGTCTCATGAGAGCCATCCGGTAATTTAATCGGACCTCGAATGTCACGTGAAAATCCTTAGGGTTGTGCTGTGCTGTTACCATGAGACACTATGGCTATCACACGCTTTTTCAGAACCGTGACTGGCGAACCAGAACACCCCGCCCACCCACCTTGTCCGCAGCCGTCTCATTGTAGTTGTGGTAGGCGTTGCGGTAGAGACACGGCAGCACCATGGGGTCATTACTGACGCCCGTCTCGCCATGCTCCCACCACTGGTCGGAGGCGTGGCAGAGGCGCTGGGCGTCCTTCAGGCACATCTGTCCAAAGCGGCACCGAGACCGAGATAAAACATTCGTTGGAGGAGGAAAGCGGGAGCGAGAGAGGGAGGGGTTGGGGTTGGGGTGAGCGGTGGGACGGGGCGGTGGTACGGGGCGGTGTGTCGTGGCTGACCGCACGGAGGTGTAGGCGGAGGGGGGAGGGGGGGGGGCAAGGCTGGCTGACTGTTCGACATCGACCAAGCCGGCGGCTGTCTGGCACCACCGGTATGACAGCCATGAGGGAGAGAGGGGGAAGAATGGGCTGACGCGGAACAGACGAGATGAACAAACGCGACCACTTTGAAGAGCATACCCACGGTCCGGCTTTCATCACCGCCCCAGGGCCGCCACGCCCCCAACACGCACGCACCTTGTACAGCTGCGGGTCGAGCTTGAAGTCTCGGGAGACGAAGTATTGGATCTGCAGCAGCACGTGCTCGCACTCGTCGGTCATGGCGTCCGAGTCGAGCGTCTCGGCCAGGCAGCTCAGCACCCTGCGGCGCCGGACCACGCTCAGCGTCGCTCGCCAGCCGAGCCCGGTCAACGGCCACACACAGCCCAGGCGGCTCGCGGCAAACTGCATGTTCTTCGGTGATGCGTATCATACGAAGTTCTGCACCTCATACCAGGTGCAGCACATAGACCAGTTCTCGTCAGGCGGCTCCAAATCAGCGCTTGCCTACGTGCCGTCCTGAACATTCACAACGGTCAGTCGAACGCAAGATCCCGCGTGACGCGCGCGTTAGGGGCGTGGTTCCCCACCAGTTGGATGGCTCCACAAACCTCAAGGAAAAAATGGGTCAAGGCCGAGAAGAAACCCGCCTATTGGCGTATTGTGGGAGGCGTTTTGCGTCATTTTTCACTGATCACCCAAACCAATTTGGCGAAACTACGCCCCTGACGCGCGTCATAGCCTCAGCAGCCGGTGCACTGACGCGCCGTCGCCACCGCGGGCGTCCGAGCAGGCCTCCCTGACGACAGGAGCGCAGGCCTGCTGCAGCACCGGGTCCACCTTCCAATCCTGACCCACGTCAGCCATGCGGAGCAGGTCCTCCACCTGGGGCAGAGCGGCGCCCGGGCTGTGACGGCGGGCGGCGCAGCACGGACGCCCAGCAGGTCAGCAAAGCGAGAACACCGACAACAGCGAGGCTCCTTAACAACTACTGCTCCCATACCAAGCCCGGTTGCTGACGACCACGTACGACGGAAGAGAGGACACACGTTTGCCTCGGGAGGACATCCATCTGTCTCGGGGGAGGAACACGTCTGTCTCAAGAGGCGGACACACATCTGTCTCGGGAGGAAGGAACACGTCTGTCTCAAGAGGCGGACACACATCTGTCTCGGGAGGAAGGAACACGTCTGTCTCAAGAGGCGGACACACATCTGTCTCAGGAGGAAGGAGCACGTCTGTCTCGGGAGGAGGAACACGCCTGTCTCGGAAGGAGGACGCAAGTCTGTCTCGGGAGGCGGACACACGTCTGTCTCGGAAGGAGGACACAAGTCTGTCTCGGGAGGCGGACACACGTCTGTCTCGGAAGGAAGACACACATCTGTCTCGAGAGGCGGACACACGTCTGTCTCGGAAGGAAGACACACATCTGTCTCGAGAAGCGGACACAAGTCTGTCTCGGGAGGCGGACACACGTCTGTCTCGAGAGGCGGACACGCGTCTGTCTCCGGCGCCAACCCGGCTGCGGCACGCACCTGACGCAAGCACTGGTTCGAGATGCGCTCCTCCTCGGCCACCTTGGCCGGGTTAGCGCGCATCATCAGACAGTGGATGACCTGGCCGCCGCGCAGCTGCGCCTCCGTGGCGCACAGCCGGTCAATGTCCTCGGCGCAGGACACTGCGGTCACGACAGGCGCGGCCGGCGAGCGTCAGAGCCGCGCCGCACCGCGCGACGCGTGCCGAGCCGGTGCTGAGTGTGGCAGCGCCATCGTGGGCGCTGCCGTACACTTCTCCTACTGAGCACGGCATAACGCTGATGGCAAGTGTCGGCCCGTACCGAAGCTAACGTAACACAGCACGCGGGGAGCGAGGCGGCCCTACTCAGAGCGAGCGCTGCCCTGGACCGAGCCACTAGGTCGTCCTGAACTGTGCTGGCATGTCGTTCTGAACCTCCGCGGGCACGCCGTCCGGAAACGCTGCTCTTTCAAACAGACTGGGCAGTACGCCATGAGTTACTTCATGAGTCCCCTATCAACATGCATGTGGTTACTTCCTGGCAAATGGCAGAAAGTCACCTCTCTTTAGGGCATTGACGAACAACAAAAGGTGAAAACATCTGACAAAACACGCACGGATGGGGACCCCATCATCCTGTATCTAGCGATTCACCTCATTGCATGCATGCATTGTCGGCCTGATGGGAGAGAGTATCTGTGTGTTGTCGGACCCCGCCCGCCGCTACGCGCACCGGGCGCCGCTCACTCACTGATCAGCTCCGGTGACAGGGTGTAGTCCTCCATCAGCGCGCGGCGGTGATCCACCATCTCCTGGACGCACTCGCCGCTCACCTGCTTGCCTGGCGGTCAGCGCAGACGGTCGGACGGTCAGCGTCACGGCCGCCGGCTGCGCCAGGCACGCTCTACCAGGCCAGAGACGACGGGGCGCGGAAGGGGAGGGGTGGCGCCAACATGGCGTCACCGTCCACGCTCCCCTCCGCGCCACATCTGCCACCGCCTCAGCATGTACACAGGATAGACAAGCGTATGGCCTTTCGGACCTCCGGGCCGTGCATGCAGCATGGGTCACCTGGCGTGCGCCCTGCTCCGGACCGAACCATCGCAGGCAGGCGGACGGCGTCGCGCCACCCACCCTGCTTCTGGTAGTTGTCGAGGCAGAGCAGGACGAAGCCGAGCTTGACGGAGTGGGCCGCCTCCGAGTCGCCGGGCAGTCCGCCCGCCTGCCGACACCCGCTGTCCGCCAGCTCGGTCTTGCACGCTTTACGCAGCCGCTTCGACACTTTGTAGTCGACCGACGTCATCTTCTGGCGACGCGTCAGCTGCTTGCGGCACTGGCGGCGGAGAGGGTGTGGGGTCAACGGGCTGAAGAGCTCACACCTCCGCGGCTCCCGTACACGGCCCCACAGCGCGCGCGCGCGCGCGTACCGATCAGCCCCGCAGCTCCGGCCGCTCGACTCACCTTCTTGCTCATCTCCTTCTCCATCTTGTGGTGCAGCAGGCACTGGTAGACCTTGCCATTGCCGGACAGGGTGCTGGCGCAGAAGCGCTCGCGGTCCTCGCGGCAGGCGAAGTAGAGCGGTCGGTCCATGTGGTAGTCCTCGGCCTGCAGTTCGGCCACGCGCAACACCTGCCCGGCACAAGCACACGCTGACGCGCGAGATCCCGGCGGCACGGCACCAAACGGGCACGTGTTTGGCACCCGCGTGTCCGTGAACGGCCCGCTCTTGCTAAGCCCTGTCCCAGTACGGGCGGCGTCTGCTGAGAACATTTAGCTGCAAACCAGTTTATCATTTCCCAAAATCGGAGACAACGAAATGCTGACGCAGAAGACGTCTGGTAAACAGCTGTGAGTACGTACGCAGCACATCTGGCAGCGCAAGATAAGGCAATGGCCAGCCACGTCTGATAACGTGACAGTGACCTGGCAAACAGCTGTGAGTACGTAGGCAGCACATCTGGCAGCGCAAGATAAGGCAATGGCCAGCCACGTCTGATAACGTGACAGTGACTTGCGTCTGGAGATCGGCGCTGACCCAAACCAGGCAGCGAGAGGCACGGGAGCCACACGACTCGACTTCCAACGACTGACGAGAGAAAACGCCACCAGCGCCGAGCGAACCGAACCTGCAGCTTGCAGGAGTCCGATAGCTTCTCCATGTGGCTGGAGACGCACTCGATCGTCTTGCCTTGGCTGTGCGCCTTCTGAGGACAAAGGACGGCGATCAGTGAGCTGTATGGCAATCCTCGGTCACCAGGGTGGTAGGGATGCTTACATTGGTCATGCTGTCGCGCCCCGTCTCAGTGTTCCCTACCCGTTGCCCCTTCCCTCACTCAGGATCCGACGGTCAGCTTCGGGCCCGGGGTTGGACCCGGCAGGTCACATGTCACCGTTCGGGGTCGGAGCGAACCGGATCGGCAGTCACCGACACGCGCAGGAGCAAGCGCCCCGAGCAGCCCCAAGTCTGGCAGCATGACGTTATATTCATGCTGCCCGACTAGCCGAGTTTTGCACAGCTGCCGGCGTGGACTCCCTGCGCGGGCAGCCGTCACCGAGCCGGCACGACCGGCTGACACACCAGCAGCCGCGGCGTCCCCGAACCACGTTCCCACAGTCATGTTCCGCACGTTCAGCTGGGGGGCTGCTTGAGTGAATCGCATACCCGACGCGCTGACGGACAACGCGCGTCCATGAAAAGACGACAACACTTAGGTCAATCCGCCGCTCAGCTGGAGCACTCGGAGCGCACGGTCCTCCGACGGACGGACGCCGCCGCCGGCTCCGCGGTCCGACCCGCCGTTACCTCATCACTGTCCTCCAATCGGCCGCATTGAAAACGGTCAATGTCGGGCCCGCAGTCTTCGGCGAACTTGTAGATCATCCGGTAGTCGGTAAAGATCATGACGGCCAGGTTCTCCAAGAAGTCGGCGCAGCCTGTCAGTGCGAGAGGACACGACACTCACCGAGGTGACCTCGGGCCGTAGGCGCCGCCATGGCTGCCTGCTGCAGGCAAGCCAAATTTGAATCCTCCAATGACAACGTTTCCACAAAGGACCACGGCGGGAGGTCCCGAAATGATGGCCCACTGCCTGCACGTTGGACCATTCGTCTAGAGAATTATGATGTCCTGCAAGTCAATGAGTACCTTCACGAGATTGAATCTTGTGTCACGTTGTTCTCATCGCGTCACTGACTGCTGCGAAACAGGCCGCGAAAGGGCAAATTAGGCAGAGAGCACAGAGAGCGCAGCCGCAGGCGTGTAGATGTCTCCCAACAATTTGTCAGCAAACGCCTTTGAACGAGCTCCGTTCAAATCAGCCACTGCCGTCGGATCACGGTCCGTGTGGACCCACTGTTCAGATTATGCCTACTCGCCGCCCACCCGGCCAGTGATCATAATCTGAACAGTGGGTCTGCAAGGGACGGTTGGAAGCTTGTGAAACCTGGGTCAACTGGAGACGCCGGAGCACGGGGTAAAACCATGCAGGGCAAGAAAAACGCCAACGAAAAAACTTTCCGAGTGTCCGTGGGCGCGTTCTCAGACGACAGGCCACCGTTGTATGCTGGAAGGGACCCGGCAACACCGACCATCGTCGGCCGGCGGCCAGCTCTCACCATCATCCTCGACGTTATCCATCTGCTCCACCACACAGGAGATGAAGTGGCCCGGCCGCTGGTCCGTCTCCTCGCAGCCCGCAAACTTCTGACCCGGACAGAGTGTGTTGAGCGCGCGCACGATGCTGGCGCTGCGGGTCAGGTTGTGGCGCAGCTGCCAGAGTACCTACCGGCCGGCCCGCGAGACTGTCCGGTGGCGAATTACGCAGGGGGGGGAGGGGGCGGCGGGTCGGTGACTGAACTGCGAGGCCGTCACGGCAGCGTGGATGCACCCTGCGCCGACTGGACGCCGCGCTCACGAAGACGAATCGAGCGTTGCACACAAAAATGATGACAATGTCAAATTAACTTCTCGGTGTTGTCTTGTAAGCGGTCGCCGAGACAATCAGAACCCAAACCAGGCGGCCACAGAGTCGATGGAGAATGTGATCAGACCACACTTGTGTTGAAGACGCCGCATACTAATAGGCAGTACCACGCAAACACATGGTCACTGGAATTGGCGAGCGGGTGACCGAATCGAAACGGCACCCTGCTTTGTGGGACACTCATGGTAATTGTAACAAAACAATGTCATTTTCAAACAATTTAAAGACGTTACAGCTTCGGTGCAGGAATCTCGGGATATTACCAGTGGAGACCAAATAGCTCCACACCCTTGGGACAAACAGGGTGGATATGGAGATTCAAAGCGTTCAAAGGAAAGTTGCTAAGCCAATTCTGCTATACAGGTCTTTCATGTCATTATGATTAAGAAAATGTGCTACCGGCGAAATAATTGGCTTGGATTTACAGTGCAGTGCTATTAATTCACTTCTCTGATGCTTAATGTCAAACGCCCTTGCCATAATGGATGGGACACTGTCATACCATTGAATAAAGCTCACATTTCACACTTAAGCAAACTAGCATGCTGCATTAAGTATACCAGTTATCGTTCCCGACATTGCCAAAGCAGGGGCGCGTCTAGCGCATGCTTACGTGGTGGCACTGTGGAGATACCCCAGCATCTTCTTCCTCCTCCTGGGACAAGAGGAAACGATTATCAGCGAACATTAGCTTATCAGCATTTGTCACAGCCTCTGACATAGACTGATATGGCTCCGACCTTTGTCCTCTTTCAGCCTCAATACACCAAACATCGCACCACACACATTCCTCGGACATCAGAGTCAGTGAGTGCCCGTAGCAGCGGTGTCCGCTCGCACATCATTTTAGCAGCTGACAGAAAATGTGAAGGACCAGTGCTTGCACAACTCTGAATGCCCTAATCAGCTTTGCAAGAGCTAGGTGCATCAGTGCATTGTCATATCGTTTCACGTCGGTGTTGCGATGAGTCACGCCGCCCGCCGCCTGCATTGGTCGGCAACGCCCCGCTCACGGCGCCGCAAAGGTGACAACCCCTTTTGGAGTTCCCCGCTCTGCTCAATTACTGCCCCGCCCGGCTCCGGGGCTTAAGTCCGCAGTCCTGACGCGCCGCGTGCCCCCCAGCAGCGGCGCGGACCACAGCGCCACGCACCTGCTGGTCGAGCAGGCAGCTCATGATGTCCAGGTTGGGCGTGTTGTCGTTGAGCGCGATGCTATTATCGCCGGCGCACAGCCGGTGAATGTCCTGCACACACAGCGGGTGCGTCACCAGCTTGACGCTCAGGAAGTCGACCTCGGCATCCTGGCTGGCCTTGGCGCCAGTCGCTGGGTGCGGCGCCTCCTCCAGAGCCCCGGCCAGCGCCAGCGCCAGCAGCAAGGCCAGCGTTCGCAGCAGCGAGGTGGCCCACATCGCTGGAGTCTCCTCGGCACGTGGTGGAACGTCCGTCAGTGGGGAGTGATGCAGTCAGACCCAGCTGAAAGAGTCCAGCACAAGTTTTGAGACACTGATGCAGATAGTAGGGGTCCGCTTGATGGGGAGACAGGAATGCATGGCCCTCATGGTTTCAATGATTATGCCTGCAGCATTTATGTAAAACATTTTGATTATGTATTTTCAGATTTTGAAACAAATATTAGCTGCATAAACTTTTTTCTGTCAGTATTTGCAAAGTCACATATCCTTCCTTTCATAGAATTCTTATTTCAGGTCACCACTACCTTTCAGGTTTGCACATGGCTCATTCCTTGGTATTACCAGCCAAACACATGGTGTGAAAGCAGATAACTACCTGAATATGTCATTAAAATGGTAACACTGCATGCACATGCTTCACTCACAATGAATTATTGTTACTTAGGAGCAATTCATCTAAAATACATAGGTACCTGAAGTACACACCCAGTAATGAATCCAACCATGTAATGTATGGCAGGTTATATTTTATGCAAATTATAATGGCTGTGGTTTGTTAGTTCATTAAGTATGCACTAACATCCTGATAACCTAAAACCAGCAATATGTGGTAATGACAATATTCATACTCCTCATCCTGTTAAAATGAGATGATGCACTATTCAGCATCATTGATCATAGCCAAATGAATGACTTCTGTGATCACACCATTCTTGGCAAGGGAAAACAGGACAACATGAGAACATGGATGTGTAGCCAAAAAGGGCAACAGCAGACCAATGGGCATCTTGACAAAAAAATATGCTGCTGGTAATGCAGTTGGGTGTGCTCGCTTCTGAAGTCATCCCTGATGCAAACCACACTTCAACTTTTGATGATGCTTTTTGATTTGATCCACAAGCTGATTGCATTCCCTCTCAATAAGCACAGCCAATCATTTTAGGTGTGTGTGTGTGTACATGTGTAGAGGGGAGGGGGTTGGGGATCTTGGTAAGTATTTTCTCCTAGGTGGAAGGTGGAATATCAGTAAGCTTTTAGAGCTCTGCATCCTCCCCCAATGTTTTTACATCATATTCAGGAACAGAGGGTCATGAAGTTATATAATTTGTATGCAGTATCGAAAACAAATAGCTAAATATCTTGCTATTTCAGGAATTACTGCCCCAGCTCTGAAAGCTGGGCACCAAATAAAATGTACACTGCCTTTCAGAATATATGATATTACAGAGTCTCTAGCCCACATACCAATAGTAATACAAAACAACAAAACTGTGTCATCTTACCATTGGTTGCAATAAATTTAGGCAAAGTCCCAGGAATTCCTGACCTGATGCTAGCAACATTGTTTTGTATTGGAATTTCTCCTCAGTGGAGGTGCTCTTTTTAAACTTGCATCCATATCCTCCTGTTTGTGCATGGCATTGCTGTGACCAAGCCTGGTTAATGAATGTGTGGTATGTGCAAACATCATTCTGTTGTAATTAAAACAAAATAAGTTCAGAAAACAAGGTGTTATGCACTGTGCAGGGCAATACACATGTCATGCAAAACATTGTATGCAATCATCCCTGCAAATTATGCCCAACATTTAACATTTCAATCATGTGAACAATACCCAAACTGCATTCATTGACCGGACAATACCCTAACCGGATCTTCCAAGACCTGTTGTGTTCCGAAGACTGGATTACACCTACCTTCAATTATTATTTTGCAATTTTGGCATTACATGCAGCAAAGTGCAATTTCATGAACACAGACATTAACATGAAACACAACAATACAAGGAGAAAGGCAACGGTAGTGCTAACCCATAAGGCGTTGCAGTATGGTTTACCATATGAGAAACCCGGTTCTCGTCATTTTGAAATCGGCCTTCGAGCTTGTGCGATGACAAAATGTACACCGACGTAGGGCTCTCCTACAGATCTAAATCCAGTGACCCCTTTCGTTTGGCATGACGAATGAACAATAGCGTACCTAAAATAGTCCCTTTGCTTTCTTACTCACCTCCTTCTGCGCCTTCTTCCCTCTTCTCATGCACAGTTGTTTACCACAAGATGCTTACGACGCATTATAAACGATTTCGGCGCAGAAATTAACTACCCAATGTACCCAACTGTATGCAGTACCAGAAGGAGCAGAAACCAATCAATGTACGTGATCGTCAGCACCTACGAATGAAAACGTTGTATTTTAGCTAGCGCTAACCACATTAGCGAGACGTAAATGACGGCATGTACAACACGTCAGCTGTGCCTTTCGTGAAGGCCGGCGGTTCAATCGACCTCGTCAGGTTATTCCCCAAAGGATAGGCCGCACTGAGGTCGTATAAGGGAGTGGGAATGGCATGAGCGCCCGTGTGAGAACAATTCGCCCCGGAGATTGTCAATCGGCCAACACTACCGGGCAAATGCCGAGCCGGGCTCGGCCGTGGACCGGCCCCGCCGACCAAGTGCGTAGTTTCGCAAGATGCGTTGGGGATGGGGTGAGGAGAGGCTGAACAAGTGACAAATTGACTCAACATATCCCCAAAACACAACAGACAGACGGGTTTCCCTCCGACTTTGGCCCACTTTCCTCTCAAAGTTGAGGGGCTGGACCCGGAACCTTAGTTGGAGAGAGGCGAAGGGCTGAAGCCCTGTGGGAAACTACATCCCTACCGCCGCCTCTGTCACAGAGACGCGCCCGTCCTCGGCACAGACCTACGCCTGTCTTCAGGGCCCCTGAGGCCAACGCGCCTGGAAATGGCCCGACCATGCCTGCGGATATTGGCTGAACCCAACCAAGCGATCGCGAACCGGCCCCGGTCCGAGCCCGACCATGCTATGGAGCCGCGCCGTCTCCAGGCTAAGGCCATCATCTCCAGCCATGTCGCGACCCGCGGGGTGCGAGCGGGCGATGTAGCCGTGACAGCTCGTAAGCCGTGCGATAATGCCACCTCCCGTGTAGGACAGGTACGACGGCCGAGACACTGCAGACACCGGGATCGCCAGGGGCGACGTCTCCGCTCGTGAACAGCTGGTGCGACCACCGGACCAGTCTGACAGAACCGGCCGGACCGGTCGACACCACGTCCGACTGTCCTCCGCGCACGGTTGGACGTTCTTAACCATGGTGTTTCTCCTCCACCGTTTGGCTGAAGAAATTGTATCTAGACGTTTGTAGCTTGTGGCGAACCACCAGCAGGATTGGGACGCGTATTTAGCCTGTGTCCCATACCTATCGAGTGGTCGTCCAGAAACCATCAGGGAAGCCCCGCTGCTCTGGATGAGCAGGATGCCTCGCAAGGCCGTTCTCAATGTCATGCTGCAAGGTCCTCTCGAGAGGCACGGCGACACGGCGATGAAAAGAGAAGGAAAACAACGGAAAGCCGAGGCAAGGCGTCCACTGCAGCGCGCGTCCCAGGTTATACAGCTGCGGTTGGCAGCACCTCATCGGAACCAGAAGGTGTGGAACAATGGAAGGCCTTTGACCAGCGATTTGAAGTGGGCGACCAGGTGCACCTCCTCGATGAGCGGGATAGAGAGGGTGAGTAAAAAAGCTGCACTGCCCATGAAAACCCGGTTACCGAGTCACAGCGCGAAAGGACCACGAAACTACGTGATGGAACGCTCTGAGCGCCGAGTTACGCCCGCTCCGGGTGCACGTCGACCACCTGAAGGAGACGCGACCCCGCGCTTGTTTGGCCTGAACAAGAGCCAATGTGTCCCGCGAGGGCTATCGGCCCCGAGCGCAGCACGGAACCTTTTACGTGCCTGGAAACCCTGCTGCATGCGGAGCGAGCCGGTTAGATGTCCCTCGGGTGGGATAGCCGGGACCCTAGGTGGCTGCGGGACAAAGAGAAGCCACAGGACCCAGGCAACGGGCAGGACGCTGCTCTGGAATCACCGTAGAACAGAGCCCCGTCGGCCGTCGCACCCTCGATCCCAAACGCCGCCAGTACAGCGCGGGTGCGCGGACCGGTGGCTCTCCGAGAAACGAGCACAAGTGCGAGCGCGGAGAGGGGACGTGACAACCGAGGGAGACCGCTTGCGGAGGTCGGCCCGTAACAGATCCAGACGGGAGTGGTCAGAGCGGGGAGGAATCCAGAATAAGGACGACGAACGTAAGGCTCGAGCGGAAGGGTACCTCACCTGTCCCCGCATTGTACGTGAAACTGTTACGCCGCGAGAACACTGCATTCGGTCCGCCCGACCCATCCATTGCGATGGTACCCGACAGGCCCACCGCTCTGAGCCAGGCTGATACACGTCACGGTGCTTGCGCTGTGCGGCAGCGAAGTGCTGCTCAGAATCCGTCGGCGACAACGGAAGTCCAGATGTTGAAGCCACAGCCGGCTGGACTGTTCTTCGAGCGAGAGGGCACCTGCTGTTCGCCATCTCGCAAAAGATCCCAGTCCTCAGGACCCAGGCCAGCCAAATACAGCCGGAACGGAATGCGGATCAAAGACAACATAAAACATATAGCGGATGTGTTGAGGGCCAGTCTTAGCAAAACAGCATGAACGGGAGAAGACAGAAACAGCGCGACGGACAGAAACGGCTGGAGCAATTCGTCGTCACGGTGAGCAGTACTTAGATGCAGGAGAAGACGTGGATGAACCGAGAATCGGTGGCCTCACAGGCAAAGGTAAGGCACGTGTCGTGGGAGCTTATCCAAGCGCGCCCGGCCAGGAGCACCCTGCCCTTCGTCGGCAAGGGGCTGAATTTCTTGTACGGCAAGGCGACGAAAGGAGAAAAATAACTGTGGGTTTAGAACATCTCCAGGCTGAAGCCGTGGAGCTACAGCATACACACGAACTGCAAGCCTCTTTGCCAGGGAAGCTGGTGAGAACACAGAGGGCTGACCATAAGAACATCGCTTGTTGTCAAGTATCGCTTGTGTGTGTGTGTGTGTGTCGTCGCTTGTCACCAAACCAATGCAGCCATCGAACTACCAGCGCGGATCGAAGTAAGTTACCGGGTAACAAGATTTAAAGGGAATGTTTCAAAGTTGAAGACATTGAGGCAATAATGTGACTATATTTTTAAGTGAAAATTCTTCCCCTAGACAACGCAGTTAAGGTTTAGTAAATATACTTTACTCAATGTATCGTCTTTGATTACGTCATCGTCACTTGCACAACATTGCTTTGGAGCAGTCTGACGGCCGTTATATCTGGAAATCGTGCTCATGAACGCCAGATATGAACGACTCGACGGTTATATTTTTGTTGGCCTTGATCGCCGCCTGGCCAATGGAATAACATAATTTGAATGGCTTTATTATGACGTCATAGATGCCCGCACATAGTCGCGGGCATGTGGCTCAACAACTAGAGGGGCTTAGGTCTTAAGGGCAGGACTGTGAGTGAACTGCGCCGAATGATCTTCGAGATGGTCATTTCAGTTTAAAACCCCATGCGAATGTGAAACACTCCGTTTGGCGTCCGTCGCGAAATGCACATCGAGTTCGTGCCGTGAGTGCAATCAATCAGTGCAATCAGTGCGCCGCCGTCCGCACATTCCGTCACGAGACAGGTAAACTCGTTCGGGGGATGGTCGCGGTGCGGGACGACCGCTTGTCGGTAAAGATCATCCCGTCGTGAGACCTGGCGAGAGCTCTCCCTCGTGCATTACGCCCTCCCATCAGTGAATCCTGGCATTCCGGGCCCGGCAAGCCCTTGGGAACTCTGTCCAGTACTGACCACTTTTGTGCTCCCATTAGCAGACAGATGAAAGATGCGCGTATAGCGTCCACTTCCATCAAGCCAACTTTGATCGGTTCTTCCTGTCTACCTACATTATCGGTTACATCACGTTCTTTCCCTTCATTCCTGGCTTGCGAGTCGCTCCACGGGAGCTCTGATCGATTTCGAGATTTCTTGCTGTACCGTCCGATAGGAAACTACATATGGAGCTGACCAAGGAGATGAGAGTGCCGGAAGACAGTAGCACTGGCGATATGCAATAAGGTCGTTCCGGTGCGCCTACCAATTCGTTCTTGGCGACGAGAACGACTTGCAGAGATCGTGCACTCGGGGGATTGGCCCGCTTCACACGCATCTCCGGAGAGCCGGCCCAGGTCGCTGGGTGTATTCCTTACCCCAGACGGAGAATTTCGCGCTCTTAAACGGGGAAGGATCCGGCGTGCCATCGTCGGGCTTTCACTTGCACGCGGCCGGAGCCTTCGTGCTACCGCCGGCCTGTGCGACAGTGGGCGACAACCTCTTGGTCCCAGTACACCGCGAGGGGTCCACCGCTAGGAAGAACCCACGATAGACCGCATGCACGCCTACGACGCCTGCTAATTTTAGTCACATGTTAGTGTTTGCGATTGCGTTTGGTGATTAATGCGTTCGCGCAATAACACACTTGTCAGATTAGGTTATCACTTTTATTCCGTCGAACTCAGGCAGAGGCTCGCACAACGCTGGCGGTTGGCCACAGCAGCGAATAACAAAGTTACTATGAAGTGGAAATACATTTAACCGTACGTAGCAGCCGTGATGACCATGTGCACACCTAAATCATTACGCGGTAATATCGCTTGTGTCGATTGTAGCAGACAGGCCCATAGCGCAGCGGGCCTCACCTCCACAATGATCGTGTCTCTTTGTCTCTAGCCAACTCAACTATGCTTTCGCTGCAGCTGCACGCATCGCGACCTTCCAAAACGAAGGCGAGGAAGGCGACAGGCAGTGATCCGTGGGGCCGCACACCTCATTTTTCAGCGCGCTCTAGCAGTGAGCAGCGTCTGAACTGAGCAGCAGCGAGCAGTGAGCTGCGACTTGAGCATCGAACAGTTATATCTACATCTAAATCAGTCCGCGGAAACGAACATATCTGCTTACACCTATAACCATGAAAAGAGTAACCCCGCGAAGTCGATACACATGTGATTGTTAAAATATAAATAAAATCTTTAATTTATCATATCGACTAGCACATCAGCTTTGCCATCCTATCTGACGCCATAAAACATGCCGACCTAAAGGTAAGATGACAGGGGAGAATTATTGTGCCAAAAAAAAAATGCAAGTTCTATATCAAACCCTGCTCGCCTGACCTGGTCTCCGCACCTCCAGAGGCAAAC